GTTTGGATGTGATATTACATTTCTGCATCTACAGGTTTTCTCAGAAATGTTACACAAGACTGTGTTTTGCCTGTAGGCGAGATTCTTGATGAACTTTGATGAGAACCACACAGAGACTGATCTGGCTTTCACTGCAAGGTTTTATATGAATGATCCATGAGGAGCTGCTGTGTGTTTGTGTGAAGTGAATTATCTGAGGGTCTTACTCTTCACTTCAGCTCTCTCTTATCTCTCCGGGGTTAGTTTTTTTGACTTGGCGCAGACTTCAAAGTGAAAAGGCCGCTGAAGTTGTTTTTTTGTTCGACTTTTATTAGCATGTCAATGACCGAGCTTTTGACAGCCAGGTGTGCCTCCGTCATCCAAACTCGCTCACACTCGCGTCTGGCCTCTTTGTCTTCAAAGGACGCTTATCTCCAGTCTCGGAGTTTAGTCTTCAAACATGCGTGTTGTGTGCAGGATTAGCGCTTGAGAAGAGTTTTGCATGTTGAGATGAACCGTCATCAGATGATAATGCTGCAGTTTCACACTTCTGCCAGCTCTTGTTTGAACAGCTTTCTAATCTCCTGTTCTTCTGTCCTGCAGATCTGGGACATGAGCGACGACGAGAGCATCTGAAGAAACCGCTGGCAAATGATGAAATGTATTAATTTACTAATCATGCAAATACAAAAATAATTGTAAAAAGTTTTACTGTTCATCTCAGTCAGAAATGATGTTTGGATGTGATATTACATTTCTGCATCTACGGGTTTTCTCAGAAATGTTACACAAGACTGTGTTTTGCCTGTAGGCGAGATTCTTGATGAACTTTGATGAGAACCACACAGAGACTGATCTGGCTTTCACTGCAAGGTTTTATATGAATGATCCATGAGGAGCTGCTGTGTGTTTGTGTGAAGTGAATTATATGAGGGTCTTACTCTTCACTTCAGCTCTCTCTTATCTCTCCGGGATGTTTAGTTTTTTTGACTTGGCGCAGACTTCAAAGTGAAAAGGCCGCTGAAGTTGTTTTTTTGTTCGGCTTTTATTAGCATGTCAATGACCGAGCTTTTGACAGCCAGGTGTGCCTCCGTCATCCAAACTCGCTCACACTCGCGTCTGGCCTCTTTGTCTTCAAAGGACGCTTATCTCCAGTCTCGGAGTTTAGTCTTCAAACATGCGTGTTGTGTGCAGGATTAGCGCTTGAGAAGAGTTTTGCATGTTGAGATGAACCGTCATCAGATGATAATGCTGCAGTTTCACACTTCTGCCAGCTCTTGTTTGAACAGCTTTCTAATCTCCTGTTCTTCTGTCCTGCAGATCTGGGACATGAGCGACGACGAGAGCATCTGAAGAAACCGCTGGAGACACAGAATGAAGCTCGTTTCACGGCAGCTCGTCTGTGCTCTTATATTGGTTTCTCAGACAGTGACCGCACTGCACAATGACCCGTCATCATATACTTGTTGAAATATTTAACCATGCACATGAAATCACATTATAGCTGTCTTAAAAATGTAATTTACGCACCCTCATATTGTTAAAAAAAACAAACAAAGACTTGGTTCATCTGAAGACTTGGTAACCATTCAGCTGAGGGTAGCCATTGACCTCTATATTTTGGAAAAAATACTATGGAAGACAATGGCTACCGTCAACCGTTTGGTTACCAACATTCTTCAGAATATCTTGTTTAAAACAATGTGAGAGAGTAAATTACACATTTTTCATTTTGGGGTGAACATTTCTTTTCAAATCATGTTTTCAGATCTCCCTGCCCATAGTTTTTTGTTTTTAAGTGATTTACCTACAGCGCGTAGGGTAATGTGTGTCAAGCAGAAAGTGAGAGTGTCCTACCCAGTAAAACGGTAGTGTGTGTGTGTGTGTGACGGACCTCAGAAATCCTCGAGGTCTCATGGCAAATACACGCAGAAAGAGCAGTCGGCGAGTCCTTTTGAAGAGCGTCGTGTATGAATCCAGGGCTGATGGAATGTAAGGACGAGCTGGAGCGTCTCCTGTATCTGCAGGCTCTAGTGAGTAGCTACACTGAACAACACCTGCACGCCGTTCCCTATCGGAGGAATGTGTGATTCGGTACAGGCCGACCGCTTCGACAGCCCAGCGCAGAATTAAGAGAAGATGAAGAACAACAAACGCACACGAAACTAGCTCGACGTTTCCGGCAGATTGTCAACGCTACAGTTGACCGGTCAATAGCTGCGAATGCTCTTTTTTCAGTCATGCAAAGCGACAGCTTTCTGTACCACCGATTAATAACAACATACAAAACCAACCGTTAATATATAGATGGCCTGTCCGGAGGCTGATTTCTCTTCTGTATCTGGCAGCTACCACAATGAATATTGAATAGAAAATAATAATATGGAGTACAACTGTACCAGCAGTAAATTTATCTAGGACTGTTACTGACAAAAATAAAATCAAATCTGAAGAAAAGGCTAGAAGTATTACGATTGAAATGTCTACACAATAATAGATACCAGCTATTTTAAACATGCACTTACAAGCACTAGCTTACCCTTAAACCTTTAGTCTACTCTACTGAAACCACAGTGCCTGGGAAAGACCCATCCGAAACGAGAAGAATGCCCACGTCTGCCGCAGTCCAGTTGTGTCAGCGCCGTAGAGAAGCCAGAGCCCAAGCGACTGAAAACGAGTTCCCTCCCCTGACCAAGGTTTCCTGTGACGGACCTCAGAAATCCTCGAGGTCTCATGGCAAATACACGCAGAAAGAGCAGTCGGCGAGTCCTTTTGAAGAGCGTCGTGTATGAATCCAGGGCTGATGGAATGTAAGGACGAGCTGGAGCGTCTCCTGTATCTGCAGGCTCTAGTGAGTAGCTACACTGAACACAACACCTGCACGCCGTTCCCTATCGGGAGGAATGTGTGATTCGGTACAGGCCGACCGCTTCGACAGCCCAGCGCAGAATTAAGAGAAGATGAAGAACAACAAACGCACACGAAACTAGCTCGACGTTTCCGGCAGATTGTCAACGCTACAGTTAGCTGTACAGTTAACAGTTACAATAGCTGCGAATGCTCTTTTTTCAGTCATGCAAAGCGACAGCTTTCTGTACCACCGATTAATAATAACATACAAAACCAACCGTTAATATATAGATGGCCTGTCCGGAGGCGTTCAGAAAGTAGATTTGTGTTTAGAAATCATTTATAAAAAAGTTATAATGGTTATAAATTGATCTAAGAGTAATTTTGAAAATGTTACTTTAACAGCAGGGCATCTCGTATGATTTCAGTTTATTTGAGCCTGTCATTGTTTTAATGGTAGCTCTTTAAGTGCACAGATGTCTTGTGATTGTGTGAAGGATGTTATGTAACGACAGCTTTAATAATAACGCTGTGCTGTCGTCAGGTTCATGTGAGTGAGAAAGCTTCGCTCATCTTCTGCTGTGTTTACGTCTTCGCTCTGCTGTTCTCAGTAATGACTTCAGAATGAAAGACTGGCACAGAGCGCTGTGCTTCATGACGACAGACAGTCTCCTGTGGGACGGAGTGTTAGTTCGGCAGAATAATCTGTATAGTGTTGATCTGCCTCTCTCTCTCTCTCTCTCTCTCTCACACATGCTGTGTGTATAGATGTGTATGTTGATGTGTGTAGCATGTATGGCATGCAGTCACACGCTCACGAGGCGACTGCAGCGCTGGAGTAATTGAATGATGCATGCGCTACACTGTTATTAAGAGGACTCATGTAATTACAGCTCTGAACCGCTGCTGCACTTTACTTTTCTTTTTTTGATGCAGTTGACAAAAGCTGGTCGTTTTCAAACTTTATTTTCTATATCAAATAAATTCAACTGGATTTTGATATATTAAAAGATAATTTTTTTTTATATATGCATTTTAACAGCACCGCACACAACACAATTATATTAGTGCACTTTATTAAACCTGCAACTGGAGAAAAAACATGTGCTGAAGTAAAATATGTGCCTGTGGCAACATTTTAGCAAAAATTACATTGCATGTTTCGTGGCAGTTTTAAAGTGAAATGTCTAAAACGTGACATTTTCTCTGAAACATTTTATGTTGCTTCATGCATTTTATATTGTAGCAGTGCAGAAATGAAATTATGCTTGATCGCATTTGAAAATAGAATAGCACCCACACTTAACCCGACTGATAATGTTAACAAAAGCTAATGTGGCATAAAAGCTCATTTGCTGAAGCAACCGTGTCATTTTGAGCTCTTTTATCGTGACTCGTGTTTCGCAGGACTCATACACGAGCGCTTCACATCTCAAGTGTAATGCTGCACCGGGTGTGCTATCCAGCAAGTTTACTACATCAGAAAAGCTGATTATGCAGCTGATGCAAATGATGAAATGTATTAGTTTACTAATCATGCAAATACAAAAATAATTGTAAAAAGTTTTACTGTTCATCTCAGTCAGAAATGATGTTTGGATGTGATATTACATTTCTGCATCTACAGGTTTTCTCAGAAATGTTACACAAGACTGTGTTTTGCCTGTAGGCGAGATTGTGGGTTTTTAGATTCCGCTACACTGTAGAGACCTGCTGTTCATGAGCTGAATTAATAAAGTCTTCTGTTCTCGTCAGTGGATAGCTGATTTTTTCTTGGAAACTGAAATGTAGGTCAACATGGTTTCAGGGCAGTTTTCGCCCAGCAAGAGTTCAGATTCATACCAATGCAAAACTCTTTTAATACACGTTTTGATGAGTAACAAAGATTCTAAACATCAATACCGAGACAAAATTAAACATACTTTTGCAGACATTAAATTTTTTTTTAAAAGGTACAAAGCTTTCTGCTTCTTTTAAAGGGAGAGTTTACCTAAAAATGAAATTATTTACTCAGCCTCATGTTTGTTGACTCATGTTGTATTGAAATGAAAAAATGATGTATTGAAGAACGTCGGTGACCAAACAGTTCCGTTCCCATTGACTTCCATTATACAAGTGGCCAAAAAACAGCATTATTCAACATATTTTTGTGTGTTCTGCATAAGAAAGAGTCAAGAGTCATGCAAGTTTAAAATGACATGAGGCTGAGCAAATGATGGCAGTGCTGGAGTTACCTGCTGGCGCTCGACGGGGCTGACAGTGGGCGAGATGGCGACAGTGCGGGTGGCGTCCATGTTTTTGGTCAGTGCGAGAGGCTGGTCCATGGCCAGGCTGGGCATGTGGGCATACAGGTGACCACCAACGAGACTCATCGGGGAGGCGCCGATGCGCTCTATGGGGCTGCGGCTGCGATCCCGGGGGTCCTTGCGGTAGTCCCCACGCAGAGGAGCTGCCCTTGGCCTTGATCTGCAGCCACGTCTCTCCCAGTGCCTTGGTGAAGTGGTCATCCACCGAGCCGGTGATGGACACCGAGTTTGTGACCGGCTCGGGCTCCTTGTAGTTCTTGCCCAGGCTGCGGCGGAAATGCTCCTCGATGACGGGGTCGCAGGCCGTGTTCGCTGAGGGACACAGAAACACCGCTTAGTGCTTTGTAAATCACAGACAAGACCTCCAGCAGACGGCACTGTCCACAGGTAGGGCACAAAACTAGAATCTGGGGTGTTTGCCCAGCACTGCATGCATTACAATGTGAAATGTAATGACTTAGTATTACACACACATACAAGCGGTCCAGTTTTCTAACACCTGCAGGAAGAGTCCAGACATCTCATTTCCCCAGCTAGATCAGGACAATCTGATTTCATAACGTTTCAGTACACTTTGAGAGCCAAACACAATTTGTAACTCATTATGATTGATTCAAGAAGGGAGATTTGTTTAGTATGCTTTCTATACCTACTTAAGTTAGCTCTGCACAAAGTCAACCTACAGAACTGGAAAGCATCAATGAATCCTTTCATTGTAAATCTGATATCTTGTTTCAATATAGAAAATATACGTTTCTAGAGACCATTAAAATTAGCAGAAAATCTTCTAGTACTGATGCATTCTTCATACATGTAGCAGATGGATAATGCAACTTTCTTAAATTTACAAAATTAGAATTTTTCATAGTTTGACTAACATTTCTTATTTGAAATTTTAGTTATGTTTGAGAACTTGGAAGTAAAAAAAAAAAAAAGAGAAAAAGTGGACAAATGTATTTCCTACAAATGAAGAGGAGGGATGTAGCAATGCACCGAGCCGGTTGAAAATCAATATAAATATGTGATGATTCATATCAGTTGAGATGTTAAATGAATCGTGATACAATTTGGGAGTGGGGTTTATATGAATGAATCTCTGAGGGGAACTGACTGTCTTCAGAAAAGCTTAGATGATATTTTCATCTTGCCTCTGTATAATGCACATTAGTGTTCATAAGGCAGGGCTCGCTTTGTTTACAACGCTGTTTGTCTAAGCAACAATAAAAGGACACCTTCTCATTTATAATTTGTCAAATCTAATTTGTTTTAAAAATGTGAGAAAACCATATTGTGAAACAAGCGTCGTGAACGGTTACATCCCTACTAAAAAGATCTTATGGTCCTTAATTCAAGTTACAAAACTTGATTTAAAACCTTGATATTGAGGTGTTTAATCTTGACTAATGCTGTCAACATTACGGTTCAATTATAAAACCTAAAAAATTAGACCATACTCTAGAAATGGTCTGAACGATGTCACTTCCTGCATGTCACATTTGCTCCATTTCTTCTACTGGTAATATGATTACACACAAAATGTGCAACATTTCACGTTTACTGAACATCTAATAGTTCCTTCCGCAGAGAATCTTTATTAAGTGAATTCATTAAGGGAAAAAAAGTAATTGGACATCAATTTGTAGCCCATCCATGGACAGTGAGGGCAGTTTGTACTTACAGTTGGAGGCTCTGCGGTAGCTTGAAGTCAGGCCGGGCGAGCAGCCGTTGTGAGACACGGTGCAGTGGGTGAGGTTACAGTTACGGTTGTTCGCTGGGGCACATGTGATCACAGAGGGACGATTCTGCACACACACACACACACACACACATGTATGAGATGAGCAGCAGAGCAAGTGTCCAAACAAACAAGAACTACTAAAATAAAAAAAGTGGGTTTTTAGATTCCGCTACACTGTAGAGACCTGCTGTTCATGAGCTGAATTAATAAAGTCTTCTGTTCTCGTCAGTGGATAGCTGATTTTTTCTTGGAAACTGAAATGTAGCTCAACATGGTTTCAGGGCAGTTTTCGCCCAGCAAGAGTTCAGATTCATACCAACGCAAAACTCTTTTAATACACGTTTTGATGAGTAACAAAGATTCTAAACATCAATACCGAGACAAAATTAAACATACTTTTGCATACATTACATTTTTTTTTTTAAAAGGTACAAAGCTTTCTGCTTCTTTTAAAGGGAGAGTTTACCTAAAAATGAAATTATTTACTCAGCCTCATGTTTGTTGACTCATGTTGTATTGAAATGAAAAAATGATGTATTGAAGAACGTCGGTGACCAAACAGTTCCGTTCCCATTGACTTCCATTATACAAGTGGCCAAAAAACAGCATTATTCAACATATTTTTGTGTGTTCTGCATAAGAAAGAGTCAAGAGTCATGCAAGTTTAAAATGACATGAGGCTGAGCAAATGATGGCAGTGCTGGAGTTACCTGCTGGCGCTCGACGGGGCTGACAGTGGGCGAGATGGCGACAGTGCGGGTGGCGTCCATGTTTTTGGTCAGTGCGAGAGGCTGGTCCATGGCCAGGCTGGGCATGTGGGCATACAGGTGACCACCAACGAGACTCATCGGGGAGGCGCCGATGCGCTCTATGGGGCTGCGGCTGCGATCCCGGGGGTCCTTGCGGTAGTCCCCACTGGCAGGCTTGCCACTGCAAGACAAACAAAGGAGGGATTGTACTGAGGCCCCTGTCCAGCGGCACAAACAAGCAGAGCTATTAATGCTGCATTCAGCAGGCCTGGCAAGAGCGCACACCTCCCGCGAGCAGTCGATGACTCGATAAGAGCGGACTGGACAGAGTCGCCGACGCTTACGTTCAAGCGTTCGTTTAGTGTACAGTAGGGCTCGGCGATATGGTAAAAAAAAAAAATAATAAATCTTGATTTTTTTTTTTCAGAACGTTTGACCGAGTCTCGATTTGTAACTACTCAACTTGAAAACACAACTACAAAATGATTCAAGCAACTTTTTCTTTATTAAAGCTCTAGTTAAAGAAAATTCTATTCCAAGTGCAGCACACACGAAGTTGACAACATGATGTAAATGTTAAACAAATCACTTGTTAAATATCTTTGCAGAAAAGATGCATAAACTACAACTACATATTGTACAAACTTGTCTTATACATATATGCTCAGAAATAATAAAAGTCAAGGTAATCAAAATGAAAAAATGATGTATTGAAGAATGTCAGTGACCAAACAGTTCCGTTCCCATTGACTTCCATTATACAAGTGGCCAAAAAACAGCATTATTCAACATATTTTTGTGTGTTCTGCATAAGAAAGAGTCAAGAGTCATGCAAGTTTAAAATGAAGTGAGGCTGAGCAAATGATGGCAGTGCTGGAGTTACCTGCTGGCGCTCGACGGGGCTGACAGTGGGCGAGATGGCGACAGTGCGGGTGGCGTCCATGTTTTTGGTCAGTGCGAGAGGCTGGTCCATGGCCAGGCTGGGCATGTGGGCATACAGGTGACCACCAACGAGACTCATCGGGGAGGCGCCGATGCGCTCTATGGGGCTGCGGCTGCGATCCCGGGGGTCCTTGCGGTAGTCCCCACTGGCAGGCTTGCCACTGCAAGACAAACAAAGGAGGGATTGTACTGAGGCCCCTGTCCAGCGGCACAAACAAGCAGAGCTATTAATGCTGCATTCAGCAGGCCTGGCAAGAGCGCACACCTCCCGCGAGCAGTCGATGACTCGATAAGAGCGGACTGGACAGAGTCGCCGACGCTTACGTTCAAGCGTTCGTTTAGTGTACAGTAGGGCTCGGCGATATGGTAAAAAAAAAAAATAATAATCTTGATTTTTTTTTTTTCAGAACGTTTGACCGAGTCTCGATTTGTAACTACTCAACTTGAAAACACAACTACAAAATGATTCAAGCAACTTTTTCTTTATTAAAGCTCTAGTTAAAGAAAATTCTATTCCAAGTGCAGCACACACGAAGTTGACAACATGATGTAAATGTTAAACAAATCACTTGTTAAATATCTTTGCAGAAAAGATGCATAAACTACAACTACATATTGTACAAACTTGTCTTATACATATATGCTCAGAAATAATAAAAGTCAAGGTAATCAAAATGACTGTAGGTATAACACCAGTAGACTATTAACTATAAATGTTCTGTAAAAACAATGAACAGAAGCTTTCAGTCATCATGATGGAAACATGAAATATCAGACATACAGAAGTAGTTCTTTACAGGTATTTTATTCGACTGCGCTACTTTTGCATTGTTTTTCTATGTAAACATGGATGCGTTTGACTGTTGCGCTCGCGTCTCATGCATGACACGGCAGTCTAAAAACACTGCGCTCGAGTTGGGAGAAGTTCACTCCCATTTTTTCCTATTCCACTGCCCACGTTGCATCTTTGTCAACACAAAAGCACAATCTGTGCAAATGGCACCTAACGATTTATTTATGGTCCTTCACACATGAGCGGTTAATCACGTGACAAGCGATTGGATCATTCTTTTCTCTTTAACTATCAATATGTTATCACTGGCATATTGTCAAAGTGACTAATTGTAACATTTGGTAATATTTCTATTCCAAATCAAGATTCCTCGATTTATAAAAAGAAATTTAATTGTGGCAAAACATTAAATTCGATTTAATTGACTAAATCAGAAAAATCACCCAGCCCTAGTGAGTAGCTACGGCTGCTCCATAATCTCGGCTGTTTTAAAGCAAGTTTTGTTCTACTTCTTCAAATCTCGTCTCCAGCTCTGCATTAGCTCAGATGGCTCGCTACAAAAGGCCCTTTCCCACTACTGACCTCCTTTCCTGTTTTTCTTTTCCCCCTTAAAAGAATAGACACACATGCAGCAAAGCCCAGAAGTGCTATTCCACCCTTCCGGAACGATCGGTCTCCTGTTGCCAGCAGAGCGGAGGCCCAGCGAGGGGCCAAGTGCACTATTCAAAAGGCTTCATCTGTGCTTCACAGGAAGAGAACTTAATACCCTTCACCGGGCACACAAGAGAGCTCTAATCAGGTATTTGAAGGAAATGCTTTCAGCGCAGAATTCGTAACCTCAGTTTGGTGACCGTGCTCCACCTTCGGGGAGGACAAGCACTGGAGATTTGTCGGGTCTCTGTTGTGTGGGCTGCGATCCTTGAAATCGCCCGTTACTTGGCAACGCAATTGGCGAGTGAAGCATCTGCTACGTCTACCGGAAATTACTGTCCTCACAATAACTAATGGAAAGCTGTGGAGCAAAATCTGTCTTACTGTCAGAAGCTACTCCTTCACAGCCTCTTCCTCCTCAGCGTGATCCGCTTTCACTGTAATACATACGCCGTGTACACAGTGTCTTAATTGTCCTCAAGAAGTTGAGATAGCATGCTGACAGCACCACTGTTGGCCTGAAAGGTTACACCATGTGACATTAGAAATGTGTCAAACAATGGAAATGCTGCTGTAAATGTGCACAGCTATCAGGAAGACTGCTTTGCATTATTACATGAGAGAGAAAAGAAACGCTGAGCTACTCAAAATAAAACAGGTCACTCACATTTTTGACTTGTCTTGGAAGCATCTTTATGCTCCACAAAACAATTTATAACAAATTATACAAGGTTACGTTTATCAAATTTTTACAAGAAAATCCAGTCATTTAAATAGGAATCCATGTTACTTCATACACTACCACACTATTGCCAAAATGTTGCTGCCGTGAACGCACATCTACACCACAATACAAGGACACAGTTGTGTATGGTTTAGGCATCATATTAATAGCAGTAAGGTCAGATCTAGGAGGAGCACAATAACATTCAGAAAAACCTGCTGAAAGCCTCTTCACCCAAGATCCTTTGAAAAGAAACGGCAATGAGGCCCTTTGATGAGATCTTTCAGTTCCTGCTGCTCCTCTCTGATGTGAGCTAAATGCTCTGGCAATAATCCACCAGTGCTTTCAAGACTCTTGCTCCGAGAACAAGGCATTTTCCCATTAGATCACAAAGCTTTCGTGTGTTTTGATGAAGCCACGCATCAATCCAAACATCCCAGAACACAGTCAAAACGTATGATACAGGAATAAACATACAAAAACAGAAGCAAACGCTTCCATCACTTTTATACGACTTTAGCATTTCCCCTTAAATGCCAAAAGCCAACGGTTATCTTTTACGCTTACTTCAAAAAAGTCTGCTCCAAACTCCACTGAAGTGATGTGAACTCTGCTAGACTCACTTCAGTCACAGATGCAGGCCAATAAAACCGGGGACATTTTCTCATAATTGCATTTCACAGCCGTGCGGGAAAACCTCACGATTCCACCACAGATCCTGGCAGGAAGATGTCTCTCTTATTTCTCCTTGAAGTCACTGGAAGCTCGCCCACAAAGATACAGGAAACATCTGGGAGAAATCAAGGCGAGGAAGGCAGAACCACAGGACACAAACAGTGCGTTCTCTGGAAATGTTCACGCTGCTCACTATTAGCCATATTTCTAGCATTCTTATTACAAATCAGCCAACAAGCTTTATTAATAGCACAATACTGTTTAACTACTGTTACACTTATATTCCTTAATGAATTCCTTAACTTCCCATTTGTAAATATTAAATGTGGTTGCTGAAGCAACTGGAACATTTTGGCACGTTGCTTATTTTTGGCTCAGGTTTTAAAACAAGCAGCCAAAAAGGTGAAAGGCAGTTTGAGAGTTGGATCCATAAGCACTGTGTGTAATGGGTTCAAAGCGCCTGGCTAACTTCAGACTTCACTGCTTTGACAAATTATAATCCAAACACCAATGAGCCAGTCATGTGTGTGTTTATATATAAATGTTAGCAGAAAAACACTATTTTATAAACCCTAACCACGCTGGCACGGCCTGCACATGACTCTCCGTTTGGCTGGCCACGGATGCATGAGAAAGACGGAGTCTCCGAGTTCCCAGCAGGAACACAAGCTGCCGTCGATCGTTCGCTCTGAAATACACTTTCTACAGGAACACATTAAACCCCTCGACGCTGGGTGAAATCTAGGTGAACGCATGAATCAAGCCTGTTGCATTTCTGTTGCATCTGCAAAACTTTAAAAGATCAGTCATTTAGTACACAAGAGAGACTCTTATTTTGCTGTAGACGTCGACAGTAGGGCGTCTCCTGTGGGACAGAACGCAGTGGGCTGACCGGATAAGAGGCCCTTTGTTTTCATGGCAGCAGTGAAAACCAGAAAATGGCCCCCACCCTGACACGAAGCCCACTCCACAACAATGTCTCCCTGAGTTTCCAGTTGTTCTAGCCTTAGGAGGAGGCTTGTATCACCGTTTAGTCTGGCAAACACGACCAGAATGAAACCGTACAATAGCTTAACATGTGGACAAACTCCTTTCAGATCAAAAACAATCTTAACAAGAAACATAACTGTAAACAGTCTCTGTGCACTTCTAACAACAGCAGAAGATTATAGTGAAGAGAGGCACAAGAAGAGAGGTTTCCCAGCCCCCACTGCTTCATTCCCTTCTATAGAGAAACACCCTCATGGAAACCTGAGCCGTGGTGTCCAGTGACAGCCGCAAACTCCCAACAAAAACAGTCAAGAGCGCCTCATTCACCTCCACCCGATGAAAATCACATGTCCTGGAGCAATACAGAGGCACACCAACAACTCCGTCCTCAGTTCAAATGTAAATGTACTCCTGCTCTTCAAATACAAGGAAACATTGGGCAAAAACTTTCCCGAAACTCCAAGCCTGTGTGCACGAAGAGTTTTAAAGGTTAAAAAAAAGAGAGATAAAATGCGGTATAAAAAACATCAACACAAACCAATGTCTTCTGTGTGACCACTGCTTCAGCTTTAACCATTTTTTTTTTAAATATTTAAGTTTGAAAATGCCAAAATGTAAAATTATTTATACTGTAATTGTAAACAATTCTATTCTACATGTTTGTTTCTGCTGAGCTCTACTAATGATCAGTAATTTAATAGTTTATCAGTAATTCTAAAAACAAGTGTGAACTCAACGATACAACTGCTCACACAATCCAATCCATTTGCACTAAACAACCATTTTGAAATGGTACATAAAAATACTGAGCTAAAGCACATTCTGTATGTCTACTAGCAAAATGGTGCATGAAGGGGATCTGGTGTTGGTAAACTCAGAAGAGATGGTGCAAAACAAGTGCTAGCGGAGTGGAAGTTGTGAAAAGGGTACGTGCTGTTATGAAACTACAATCTGCTGCAGAGCAGTTCAGATCCTGCTAGTGCTAAACCTTTCAACTGGCAACAAGCTCTGACGGGTTGCCAAGATGAGGATCAAATAGTGTTTATGTATCTGAGAGCGAGAGCATTGCAAAAGTAAATCCGTTCAAAGTTTAAAACAGCCCGTGCTGTTAAAGGAGCGCACACTGATGTCAAAGCCCCGAACACAGATCAAATCAAGCTTGTTGTGCTGAGAAGCCCCTTCTGTTGTTCACACTGGCTCCTGCACTGGTCCTAATTTACCAAGCAAATTGCAGGGCATAAATTAGCCCGGGCTGCTCTGCCTCGCTCCAGTGTGGCTTTTCCTTGCTGAAGAGCAGATCTGGTGTCCTGCGACTGAGCGCTGCTCTTCATACCGGGGCTGGAATGCAGGGAATGCTCTGCCACGAGGGCATGGCCCATGTGCTCCGGCTCCGACTGCCAGAATCTCAGGAATTCCAGCCCTCGCTCTTCAGCACATTCCCAAGCATTCCCCACGTTCTTTCTGCAGGAACGCCGCCCGCATGGCCCTAACTTCAGCTGAGTACGAGACTTTCTAAAAAGCACCTGCCTGCCAAAGACTCGCTGGAGACGACACAAGCTGTGAGCGTCTGTCAGTGCATCAGATGCATCCAAAACCAGACACGTGATGTTAATCGGATCCACTTACAACTGTGCGGCAAACAGCCGGCTCATCTTGGCCACATGCTCGCCGTTACAGTCGATGCCGTCATCTGCTTGGTCCCCGCTGTGCTTCCTCTTGCTGGGGCTGATGGGAGGAGGGCCTGTCCTGTGATTGCTGACTGCAGAGGACAGGGACAGGGCCGGCATTCTGGACTCGCCTCTCAGAGCAGCCTCACCTACAGCAAACACAAGAGAGCGGCATTAACACAGACGAGCACTATCAGCCGCTTCAGGAGATGCTGCTTTTACAGGCTGTGTGAGAAGTGAACTGCATGATTTAGAAAGTGAACAAGCCATCATGTGAAATACAAAAACAGCAGATCTGCTGAACTGATGGCATAATGAATCGAGTGAGCAGTCAAGAATCGACTCCACACACTAGGGCTGCACGATTATGACAAAAATCATAATTGTCGATTATTCCCTTAAAATTGTAATTGCGATTATTAATTACGATTATCACAATTTATATTGAATGTTTATACCATTGTTTGATGCAACTGCATGCCGCATTTTTATATGAAAATAAACAAGCCGAAAACACTAACTGAAAAACCTTTAGTGCTTTTCTATAGTATTAAGCCTCAAATGTCAAATATACTTCGGATTGGTTTCTTCTTTAAATTATAAAAATATGAATGGTATTATAATGTTATACTAAAACTAAAAATGGAAAAACCCTCAAGATAACATGTAGAAAGAAAAAAAAACCATCTAAAGCGTGCAGAATAACATAAGTGGACTTTGAACGATTAATTGCCGCTTTGAACGATTATGTAATTGTGGCATCCATAATTGTAATCACGATTAGAAATTCAATTAATTGTGCAGCCCACACACACACACACACACACAAATCAAATACAAAGCTCAAAAGAATAGAACAGGACACAGAAGTGAACATATTTGCTGCACATCTGTCTTGTAAACAACCCGACCGATCTAACGATCCCGGGGGGCTACCGACGCGCGAAGGGTGGCGTTCGAGAGGGCTCTGTATTTATTTACAGAGGTAGGGGAGAGCGGGGCACAAAGTAACACTTTTTGACTTTCTCAGTTTGTGTAAATCCACATGGGGTTCAGAATATATATATTTTTTTTTATCCACAGTAATTTTACACTTGTCTAGTACAAATATGTCACTTTGTTTCATAATTACAGTGTATACGTTTTTCTTTATTTACCCTCCAAAAATGGAAGTGAAATGTGACAACATGCCCCGTAGGTGGAACACATTGTAACATCTGAGGGGCACGTTGTAACATGACCATGTAACAGCTTAAAATCTTATCTGATCGAAGGAAAAATATATACAACACAAACTAAAATATTTTGTTAATATATATAGATACATGTTCATTAGTTTTTTTGTTCAAATAAAATAATGGCATTTTTTAAGAATTAAAATTAATCTGATTTTGGAGTTTGACAATGAACACATTGCAACCATGCTTGGGACGGCCCACATAAACCAGCAAAAATGCTTTATAATAATTTCTAAACATTAAACATCGACTGTCAGTCTTTATTCACCTGTTTCTCGTTGTTTCTCATTAAAATTAA